ATAATAATGGGTGTACTTTTAAACAAAATCACAGAGCTATTTTGTTCTGTGAAATTTCATGTACATTCATTCTGTGTGAATGGGGAAAAAAATAATGTTGTTAGACTATTTTCTCTCCAGGCCAAATGTTATTCATTCATACAGAATAGTATGAATTGGGGAAATACAAATAAATATTTCTTTCCTATGATTATCAGCCCCATCCAGTGGCCATAATACAGTATTTTCCTGATTTACTCTATATAAATAAATAGCATTTAACCTAGAGAGAGAATAGGCCAATAACATTCATTTTTGCCCCCCGTTCGCACACAGTGAATTTTCATACGATTTCACAAGACAAATAGCTTGGTACCTTTTGTATAAATACACCCTGAAGTTTAACTACATGCCGCCCAGCCACTGTACATATACGGCGGCAGGGCGGCACTCGCAGGCAAAACCACGTTTTAAAACGTGTGTTTTGTAAACAAACAGGGGGGCGCGCGCGAGGCGCGCCGCCGCTCTATCTGTCCCGCGGATCACCGCCGCAGATGTCAGTCGCCGGGTCACAGCCGCTCCTTAGCGGCTATGTCCCGGCGATCGGCGGCAGACAGTGACAGAAAGCACAGCTGCAGTAGCTGTGCTGTCTGTCACTTCCCTGTCAGCTCGAGGATGAGCTGATCGAGAAAGAACAGTTTCTCTTTCTCGATCAGCCTTGTCCCGTCCAGTACACACCCCCGCCCCCTAGTAAAACACTCCTCTCACTCCTATAACCCTTCCCTGCTAAATAAAGTTAACCCCTTCCTCCCCAGTGCCATTAGTACAGTGTCAGTGTTGTTTTTTTTTGCACTGATCACTGTATTAGTGTTTTTGGGGATGTCAGTGACCCCAAGTCAGTACCCCCCAATGTCAGAATGTCCGCCGCAGTCCCGCAGTCCCGCAGTCCCGCCATAAGTCGCTGGTCGCTGCCATAAGTCCCTGATTGCCGCCATAATTCGCTGATCGCCGCCATTATTAGTATAAAAAAAAAAAACTAAAAATCCCAGTATCTTTCCCGCCATTTGTAAACGCTATAACTTTCACGTAAACCAATTAATTTACACGTATTGGGGTTTTTTTTTAGCAAAGACATGTCGCAGAATGCATTTTGGCAGAAATTTATGACTAAATTTGATTTTTGCATTTATTTTTTTACTGGACATGTTTTATAGCAAAAAGTCCAAAATATTGTTTTTTTTTTCTCAAAATTGTCAGCCTTTTTTTTTATAGCACAAAAAATAAAAACCGCACAGGCGATCAAATACCACTGAAAGAAAGCTCAATTTGTGGGGAAAAAAAAGGATGTAAATTTCATTTATGTACCATATTGCATGACCGCGCAATTGTCCGTTAAACTAGCGCAGCGCTGTATAGCAGAAAAATGGCGTAAATTGCAGTATTTATACCATAGTTTGTAGACGCTATAACTTTCACACAAAGCAATCAATATACACTTATTGGGATTTGTTTTACCAAAAACATGTAGCAGAATACATTTTGGCCTAAATTTATAACCAACTTTGAGCTTACTATATATTTTTTATAGCTGAAATTAAAAAATATTGTTTTTCTTCAAAATTTTTGGCCTTTTTTTGTTTATAGCGTGAAAAATAAAAAGCGCACAGGTGATCAAATTACACCAAAAGAAAGCTCTATTTGTGACGTAAATTTCGTTTGGGTGCAGCATTGCATGACCGCGCAATTATCAGTTGAATTAGTGCAGCGCCGAGTAGCAAAAAGAGGCCTGGTCATTAAGGGGGGTAAATCCTCTGGAGCTCAAGTGGTTAAAGGAAAAGCTGTACTCCAGTCAGGTAGAAAAATACACTATTTTAGGGGGTCAAAAGAATGTGTAGTCCATAAAGTAGGAGTTGTATTACAGCATATGGTTTGTACTGTAGTGTTGCACCTTTCCCCTTACACTTTGTATGTTTTAGAAAACAGTAGGGCCTGGGGTACACTGAAGAGAGAAAATAAATTAAAATAAAATAAAGTTTCAGTCACTTGGAGGGGCCTCTATATATCTGCAGTAGATTTCAATCTCCCCTCACCACCACCACCACCACTGCCACCACAAACTCCACCTGAATAGTTAACTGTTCTGATTGGCCAAAGCTTTTGCAATTCTTAGTAGTGTTTCCTGCCCTCCCATCCCATCTCCCACACATTGACTAGTGAGGCAGCCCACCATAGCAATGGTCCAGTGGGATAGTACAAGGAACCTCTCCCCACCTAAATGTGACAACGCTCAGACCTAGTAGCTGCCACTGCATTGTGGAAGGAAGTAGAGTTACATGCTCCCCACATCTTTGGTGTGGGTATTTCCCTTCACTATGGTGAATGCACAGGGCAGTAGGAGTGTGAGAAAGACCCAGGTCTGCTGATTCCTTGATGAGAAGAGCAGGCAGATGACAGTTTATACAGAGCAGACATGGTCCAAGCCTACTCCACTCTATGGACACAAACCAGCTGTCCATTTACACCCACCTCCGATCCGATCTGCCCAGATGGATTAGAATGAAATCCCTTCCATTTTGTTTAGCAGACTGGATCGAAGGTTGTAAACAGACACCCGTTTACACCCTCTGGTCCATAGATATGAATAAACCATGCAATCAGTTCCACCTGAAAAGCTGACAGACAGCCCTGATCAGAATTGTCATGTGAAAGGGGCCAAAGGGTCAATATAAGTGGTACCCCTAAACTTAACCCCTAAATTTAACCCAACATCAAAGGAATATCAACATGGCTTATATACTGATGACACCATCAAATATTTTCATCATCTATTGTGGTAAAAAAACAGGGAAAAGTCAAAGCCAATTATTAAAGAACTTTCAAGATTCCACAGGTATTGTTAGCCAGTGCAGTATTCTTTACAACTCTGAAAATCATTTTGTGGATTTTGAGTTAAACGTTTTAGGCTCGGTTCAGACTCCTGCAACCTGAAAGTCACACGACTTATGGTGCCACTTTGCCAGGTGATTTCCTGGCAATTTGCTGGCGACTTGAGTATGACTTTGATGTGCCTTCATGCATGACTTTAGTGCCATGCAACTTTGCCCGGGTAATCATCCTGTAATGTCGGATCCAAATTACATCAATATAGATAAAGATCCGACTTAAAGGCGACTTCCATTAAAGTCTATGGGCACAAGTTGGATAGAAGTCGCCTTGAGGTAGTATAATGGCAACTTTGGGAATTCCAGGTAAAACTCCGGACACGAACTTGAGGAAAACAAATCTTTTATTTACCAGAGCTGGTTGACTTAACAAGGACTAATGTCTGAAAGCTAAGTGTCTTGAAAAAGCATCTTACAGGGTATACATCTCAGCAATTTCGTCACAATGCATATATTTCCTCTTTTACTTTCTGTACAATTAAAAGACTTTCTAAACAGTGCAGGATATAGCCTAGCTAGATAAACTTATTTTCAGCTGAAAATAAGGGTACCAGCAGGGGCGGACTGACAACTCATGGGACCCCCCGGGCAATAGGGGGATCATGGGGCCCCTGTGTCCTTGCCCAAACTCAAAAAAGCCTATGAAAAGGTACCAGGGGCATCTCATGGGGCTCCCTACTGACCCCGGGCCCTCAGGCAGTGCCCGAGTTTCCAAATGGTCAGTCCACCCCTGGGTACCAGCTACAGACTGGAACACATTATTCCACAGTAAATATGGGAAGAGGAAGTGAGCTGATGACCTTGTTTTTGCAAACAGATGCTGTTAGGAATGTTAAAAATTAAGGGGAACTCTACAATATTTGGGTGCTGCCACAGTAGTACAGGAAACTTTTGTAAAGTCGGAGCGACTTCAGTAGTGCCAATTAAGACAACTCTCATTGACTAACATTGGATTTCACATGTCATGTGACTTGGTTTTCACAAGTCAGATACCAAGTCGCGGCAGTGTGAATCGAGTCTTAGTGAGCAATGGAAACTGGATATTCACTAACCAATATTCATAGCCCATTAGAACGCCTCCCTAGATACAGAACACCTCCCCCTCTCTTTTTGTCATAATAGGGAGGTATTTTTATAGTCCTCAAAGATAGATACAAACAATGTAACCAATAAGATTGCAGCACATAGAGAAACTTACCAGCTCACAGGATTTCTAGCAGGATCAACAGATTTGTTTTTGCACTTATAAAACAGATATAACAAAACATATGCAAAGGTATATTTAACAGTAAAAGGTTGAGAAAATAAAAGAAGTTCATTTTTGGAGTTTAAATACACCTTAGGTTGTCACGGCTACATTTAAAATTTAATTTTCAGATTTAATCAGTTGGGTTCTAGTGTCTCTGTCTAGAGATAGATAAAGTGGATGGATGGATGGATAGATAGATAGATAGATAGATAGATAGATAGATAGATAGATAGATAGATAGATAGCATATACTGGTGGCTTTACATTGATTTTCTCCAGCATGTTCTCTGTATCCCCTCCAGCACTTGCAGTGGGGAAGGCCACAGTCTGGACTACAGGGTTTGCAGATAACATATTACAGCTGGAGGGAAAGCTGACTTGCCATAATTAATGGTGCTTCTGGTAATAGGATTTCCCAGCCCTGAGGAACCTTTTTACATAAGATATTGGCTGGAGAGTTATGATTTATAGGGGTCTGATCCCAAAGAGAATCTGCACAGGGACTCATGCTGGAAGGAAATTTATCAAGGCTAGCGAGAGGAGAGACAGAAACACTGGTGCTGGGGGAAACTGGCAAGCCAGAGAGAGGAAAAATGAAAAGTCCAGAAGGTATAGAGAAAATACAAGAGCGTTCTATTGATCAATAGCTCGAAATGAGGTCAGAGGTTAATAGAAATCTTGCAAACGTTTTGTTCTCATATTATCGACAGTGTTTATTTGGGGCTTGACTCCCTCTTGTGAACAAACCAAGTATTGTCAGTCCGCTAAAACATCCCAACCAACTGTTTTTGCAAAACAGACACTGGTTCAATAGATTTTATTCTGAAGGATTAAATCATTCCCAGCTGGGATTTAAAGTTCTGAAGCTCAGAGAGACTGATCGCACTTCCCCCGCATACTATCATTATCAATGGTCCTTGTAGCTGTTCTAACTTGCCCTCCTGTTGCAGGCGCTGGATGTGTCCTGAATACACTGCAGCAAGGGCAGCTCCACATGCAGCCTCCACCAGCATCAGTTCATCATCTGGAAGAAAAAAAATGTGTGAGAGGAACAGTGTGAAACAAAATATACAGCAAAGGTTTTATATATTAGCTTTCTATAAAGAACAGCACTATGACAGATTAGTGATCAGTAGTCTGACAGAACAAGGCTTCTGAAAGCTAATTTATATTTGGTTGATGTAGTTTACTAAACATGATTGCACAGAAAAACGTCAGTGTTTTTCAAACTGATCCACAGATATTTAGCTGTAATGCACTATTCCCGAGATGATATTTTACAATCTACTATAGCACTACACCCTTAGGAGTCACTAAAGATTTGGGTCCCCCTAAAGTCCTGCACAGCCAGGCAACACACATTTTCCATAGACTTTCATTTTCCAGAGACGAAAAACAGTCATTGAACTTGTTTTTTTAGTTTTATTAGGGGTATTAAACTTGGATGAAGATTAAGGACACATGGGATGCCCAGTGAACTGTTAACTGAGGACAACGTCCTTAGCAACTATGTACAAGGCCACAGAAGGGTATTTCTCTTCTTGAAGAGCTCTGCAGCCTCTCTTGGTGTACCACCCCAAACCCCAGATAGTCCTTCTCTATCTAGCAATCTGAGGGCTTTCCCTGGACAAAGGGATCTGGTATCTACCACCTTAAGAGTACAGTCCAGCTGGGGGCTAGACGTGTTTCCCACCAAATGCCCTCTCCCTTCTTTACGGTCTAGGGGGTGTAGAAGTACTCACTGTTCCTCTCCTACAAGCTGTAGGTTGGTAGCTGCCTTCAGGCCTTCTGTTGGGCTGGCTCCTTCCTTAGCTCCACAGATGGTCCTCTCTCAGGGGGCCGGCGAGGTGCAGCTTTCCCTTTGTCCAGATCCCACCTGGAGGCAGGCTCCTTCCACTGGGCCCCCTCCCTGGCTCAACATTCACATCCTGCTCTCACATCTTCCACCCAAACTCTCCCTCTCTCTCTGAGCAGCCTCACCTATCCTTAAGGGCTGCCCCAACCCCTTGCCCAGCCTCCTGTTTGAGGATTGGTCAGAGTCCCTTAAGCATACAGATCAGCCACTCCTCACCCTCACCCACTGAGTTCTAGAGACTTCTCCAAGTTTCTGGATCAGGGGGAGGTACCAGAGAGCTGAGCTGCAGAGCCTCTCAGCTCTGACCCAAATTTAACCCCTCGGACTAACTCCCTGTCTGCTACTCAGCCTCCTAACAAAAAAAAATAATAATTTTCTGAGCTCCCCCTAGTTGCCTAAGAGGGCCCATATACATTTTTGGTGATTTCTTCTATATTTGGGAGATTGCCGAGCAGGATTCAGTGGCGTGCAAGAGCCAGAACATTGCAGATATATTTACATGCACAGGGAGCAAAGAAGTAACAATTAACATTGATACACCTATGTTAACCAAATCCTCAGGTGTTACTATGTTAAGGTAAAATAAACAAAGTGCAGCGCTTTAAAACAAGTTTAAAAAGTTCGACCTCAAAAGTTCGACCAAGGATCGATCTAAAGACACACGTTTAAATGTTCATATGATCAAAATAGGCAATATGTGAACACAGCTGGAAATCTGGTCCGGGAAATGGCAAGAATGCGCACTCACCGACCGCACATAGGAAATGCGCGTTTACGTGTATCCAATCAAAACGAATGTAGATATCCCACAGAGAGAGATGTCCTCAATCGATCTGCTGGGCTGATGGATCAATCACAGGCGTCAGCATCCCCTCTGAAGATGTGCCTCAGCACGAAAGGCCTCAGGAGGAACTGACAGCCTGTGACGCCTCTTTATCACCCAGACCACGAGGAGGTCTGGGTGCTTGCTCTTAAAGGGTCAGTAACTTACTTCTTCACTTTTGTATATGTGTTATATGGCACATTGCCAGTGACATTACTGACCTAGCTTTTTAATCACTTCTATCAATAAATATTTGACATACTACACCATGAGTATTTTCCCACTTCTTAAACCCCACTGAGGGGTAGGCAGACACAGCTACATATCATCCAGAGGAGGAACACCTGTACCTGGAAGGAATATGTGCCTGTGATTGATCCATCAGCCCAGCAGATCGATTGAGGACATCTCTCTCTGTGGGATATCTACATTCGTTTTGATTGGATACACGTAAACGCGCATTTCCTATGTGCGGTCGGTGAGTGCGCATTCTTGCCATTTCCCGGACCAGATTTCCAGCTGTGTTCACATATTGCCTATTTTGATCATATGAACATTTAAACGTGTGTCTTTAGATCGATCCTTGGTCGAACTTTTGAGGTCGAACTTTTTAAACTTGTTTTAAAGCGCTGCACTTTGTTTATTTTATTTATACCGAAGGTGGTTGTGATCATCTTCAGTGCTATTAGCTGCTTACTTGATTATTCTATTAGTAGCGCTCACTTTATTACATATTATCTACTATGTTAAGGTGTTACGTAAAGAGATGCTGTCATGTCATCTTACCCATTCAGAATAAATTTTGTAGGGCCTTTAAAAGCCCACCTACTGACCACCTTATACTCCTCTTCAGAGTGCTCCCCAATGCTCCTTATTCTGTGGTTGGCAGGGCAAAATATTTTGTGCTGACTGAAGTCCAAGCTTAGAGCATGCCATTCCCTCCATTTTATTACAGTGCTAGGGCCTAGTACTGTATCATGGGAAAAAGTCATATGTTCCACTATACCCGGAAGCACTGGCAGGAACAGATAAAGTGTGGTGGGGGGAGACTGTGAAGATGAGTATAAGGTGCTCTGGGGTGCGATTTAAACAAACACTGTCAATTTGCCCCAAATGGACAAGGTGAAAAATATATTTAGGTTTTTATTTAATTTAGCTTTTTATGTATTTCTAATTATTTGTAGTACCTATAAAATAGATATGTACACTAACATTTCTTACTAGCTGGACCTTTTACCTGTATATGTACAATTAAAAGTTAGCATTTAAATGAGATTATGATAATATATTTAATTTTAAACATAACCATGGATGCCTCATGTACACAGACATCTAGAGCCCTGGTGCCCTTGGTATATGTACAGGGGCGGACTGACCATTTGGAAACTCGGGCACTGGGTCAGTAGGGGGCCCCATGAGATGCCCCTGGTACCTTTTTCATAGGCTTTTTTGAGTATGGGCAAGGACACAGGGGCCCCATGATCCCCTATTGCCTGGGGGCCCCATGAGTTATCAGTCCGCCCCTGTATATGTAGCATTTCCACATTCTTTGACCATTATTTCCTCTATTAGGTCTGCAGTTTCTGACAGTCCTTTCAAGCATTGCATATAGTGAATATTATGTGGGGCCCTTTGATGCTGTCAAAAGCCACATTTGAGGCCCCCTTTAGCTCATAAATTGACAATCCATGATCTCTAGATGCTGCAAAGTCCTCTAGAGCAAAATCCTTGACAATTTTCGGCACCTGGGGAGCTGCAGATGCTAGGCATAACTGCTCATACAAGAGAATAGCTGTACATGGTCATACTTGTGTTTTGAAAAATACGCTGTATGTGCATGTATGGATAAACGCTAAAGCAGAAGCCATCAAAGTTTACATGAGTACGGTCATCTATGGGCAGCTGTATGCAGCACCTGCATTTCCATGAATGTGGGAAAGTGCCAGTGCTCCATGAGCACGAGTGTATGTATTTTTATCATGATGCTTCTTTTTCTCTCTCTCATTAATCACTTGCCTTCCAGAGGATTTCCCCCCCTTCCTGACCAGGCCATTTTTTGCAATACGGCGCTGTGTTACTTTAACTAACAATTGCGCGGTCATGCAACGCTGCACCCAATTTAAATTTATGTCCTTTTTTTCCCACAAATGGAGCTTTCTCTTGGTGGTATTTGAGTAGTGTGCTGGTGCTGACAGGGGAGAGATCTGTATAGTTTACATACAGACCTCTCCCCCATCAGTGATGCTCGACAATCGTCGCGTGCCGGCGGGGAATCACCGGCCGGGACCTGGTGATCAACAACTGAGGCCGCTAATGGCCTCGTGCATGCCCCTTGCCCGGAAATACAAAATGACAAACTATATATATATATATGATTTTTCACAGCCCTGCTGCCCTGTAGCACTAGTTCTGCTATAGGGCGGTCAGGAAGCAGTTAATTGAACTCTAAATGGCCAAGTCTGAACACAGCAAGAAGGGAAAGGGGGAGGATAAGTACTCTGGTTCATTCAGTTGTGTATGTAAATTTCAGCATGACCTATTGAAGTGGAACTTCACTCTCTCAATCAACATTTACCATTTTTAATCCTTATGCTGCTAGTAAATAGATAGGAAAATATATGATATTTACTTGTTTTAAACTCTGTTTCCATTTATTCAGTTACTTCCTGGTTTACATGCCTAGGCAAACAATGTCATACATCCCAGGAGTTTTCAGTAGGGGAGGAGGAACTTTCTCATCTAAGCACACCCTCCTGCTTGCATGTCTGAGCTAAGGGCAGATGGATTCCAAGAAGTAAATGTTACAAGAATCATCTGCCCTTAGGCAAGGTGGCCACAGCCAGAAATGCCTGGGGGTATCTTTCAGAGTGATTTATAGATAAAATAAAGCATGGAGACATAGATGGATGGGGGAGTTTGCTCTGAATATTAAAAATGAATGAAATAATTTTTTTGGCTTGTGGTGCTCAGATGCAGTGTAGTTCTGCTTTAGGCTCCGTTCACACCAATGCAATTTTAGTGCTTTTTGCAGAAACGCACTACAGTCCGTTTAACATGGTTTCCTATGGACACATGTTCACAGCTATGCTTTTTTGAGCTGCTGCATTTTTGGAAAGGGTCAGGGACTTTTTTTAAAAGCAAAAAGCAGCGTTTTTTCTACAACAGAGTTCAATGGAGAAGCCGCTTAAATATAGGGTAGTGCATTTTTGCCACGTTCTGCAATTTTTCATTTCAATGGTTTTTATTAATTTGTAAACATTTCAACAAGACTTAAGCAACAAGACACGCCCACGCAGGGACTATCAATGGCACATAAAAAGTAAAAAAACAGTGTTCTAACACCAACAGAGAAAAGGGTGCACCCACGCAGGGGCTATCAATGGCACATAAATTACAAAAACAGTGATATAACACTGACAGTAGCTCAAACCAAAGGCAGCTATCCACCGCCTCACAAAAGGCAAATATAATAGAAAGGAAAAAGGAGTAAGAAAGGAAGAAGATGACAAGACCAGGAGCAGCAGGGGTCCAGGAACGCCAATATCGAACAACATCACAAACCCAGACTAGCTGGGGAGATCGTGATAAGAGCATATGTCAACCACGGCTCCCATATTTTCAAAAATTTCCGTTGGCAGTCGTTACAGATACTCAACATCTGTTCATTGAGCATCAGTGTGGTCATATGGTCCCACACACCCCCTGAAGAGGAACAGTATGGGACAAAGAAGAAAAGCGTACTGAGCATCCCGGCGTATAGAGAGAGTGAACAAGGTAAAAAGGAGGCCAAATACACGAACCAAAAACAGATCAGTTTCGAGCATGACCACCATATATGCAACACAACTCCAGGATGACCACAACCCCGAAAGCAGCGATCACTGCGAGTTTTGCATTTTTATTCTGCCCAGCAACAAAAAAAAAAATCCACTTTAACAAAAAAAAAACAAAAAACAAAGAGCTGAACAAAACGCTGTAAAAACACGTCAAAAACGCATGTAGAAAAAGGCAAAACAAACTGCAAAAAGCACTGGAGAAAGCATCAAATGTAAAATGCATATATATGAACCAAGCTCTGCAAACAACAGGAATTTTTGATAAGGTAAGGATAGACAGGGAAATATCTGAAAAGTAGCCTAGAGTTCCAGCTGCTGGATTTAAACGAGAATTCAAATTATTCATACGTAGCCTTTGTGAGTATGAGATGTATACGGACATTTTCTATTGCTGCAGAACAGAATTCTAAAAAGTACTGTGTATAAGAACACTGGCAGGATCTTATAGGTTTCAATAAAATAATATGTTTTGATTTTCAGAATAAAAATAGCTCACAATCCAAACTGAAAAGAATTCAACAGGACCAATGAAGAATGTAAAGTCACTATCCACTTCCTACATACCCAGGAACATCTCAATAGCTTGGACTGCTTCTTTATCATCCACGGCCACAGAGATAACTTTGTATTTTCTTGCACACTCCAAAGCTCGGTCACATACTGTTTTTGCACCTAAGCACTTGGCAATGCTGTAAAAAAAAAAGAAGAATACCTGATTTAAAGCTTCATTTTGCATGATCTCTTTCCACACAGCCAAACTGAAATTTTCTTTAGTGGAAATGTATTAGATAAAATCAAGCAGAATATTATTCGGTACCTACCTTAACCTACAAGTTTACTTACACCTAAGTCCTTTTCATACCATTATGGCATCAAGTCTCATTACCACTAGCTAGAATTAATTGAAAATAATTCTTTGTTGACTCAACTGTAATGCTGTTCATAAAGATACTGCTCTCCTCCCTATCATCTTCCCCCCATCCATATTTGTCTTTTATACTCATCTTCACATTCTTAATACAATCACGTTTACAAAAAATAAATGATTACAGTGCAGGGAAAAAAAGATGGCCCCTCTTCTTCTCAATCATTCGGATAAGTCACAAGCTGCCTCTATCCTTCTCATGTAGAAGTGTGTGTTCCTGTAGAGACAGCTCTCACTTCACAAGTGTCACATTGTCGCAGTTAATTGGTCAGTGCAATCTTAAGGGAAGCACATAGCTGTCAGGCACCAACTAAGTCTTAATAACCCTACTGAATTGCTGCTGTAGTGTTGGCTGTAATTACAGGTACTTTGAGACCTAGTGACAAGCAGGCAGTCTTGTTTCTTACACCCCTATGAAACTATGTCCATTTGATCAATGCTATGAGGACAGAAAAGGTAGTTTCAAATTGTCAATGCCACTCAGAGAACATAAATCGTATATATTGAGTGTACATGTTTTTTTTCAATCTCCCACTATTATTGTTTAGAAAACATTGCAGATTATATAAAAATCTTCATATTCCTGTCATTATATATGCTATCTCAGTACATGGCTGTATGCTTGTTATTTGGCATATATTAATTAGGAATTCTGATGATCACAACATGCTCTGATATATGGACATCCTATGTCTTGCCATTTATGATATATGATATATAAGACATCCTATGTCTTGCCATTTATATTTGTATACTAGGTTAGAATACATTTTTTAAAAAGGGTAGTTCTTCCCCTCCTCCCCCCAAAACAAAATAAAAGTTAGCAGCTACAAATACTGTATCTGCTGACTTTTATTATTAGGGCACTTACCTGTCCAGGCATCAAGTGGTGTCCTTATTCTGACTCCAACTGCTGTATTATTAACTTATCCCTTACTGAGACCTCTATACCTGGCCTGTATAAGCAGATACAATCACTGCGGACCAGGGGCGGACTGACCATTTGGAAACTCGGGCACTGCCCGAGGGCCCGGGATCAGTAGGGGGCCCCATGAGATGCACCTGGTACCTTTTTCATAGGTTTTTTTTAGTTTAGGCAAGGACATAGGGGCCCCATGATCCCCTATTGCCCGGGGGCCCCATGAGTTGTCAGTCCGCCCCTGCTGCGGACAGTCTTTTTCAGATAGCTGAACTCACAAATCACCTGTTTTTCTCATCCATGGATCTTTATTGCGATGCAGAAGGTACAGCAGACAACAAGATGTAGTGGATGAATGTAAATGTGCAGGTATTTGCAGGTCAAAACAAGGTAATGTGCCCCCAGCTGTGAGCAGATTACATGTGGTTTACAGACTAGCGGCCATATTCACCCAGAAGACAGTGAAGAAGGAAGAGGATCAATAGCTAGTGGGAGGGGACAGGATGAAAGACAGAAAAGGAAAGTACAATAACCAAAATGTCCACAAGATGACAGTATGTTAAAATTAACCATAGTTATGCACTGCAGGATATTGTTACACAAAAAGTGTAACAGCACAGTCCTTACCCGAGCCGTTTCTTCAATCGGTTATCAAGTGCTGGCACCACCATCTTGACTAAGGGAAACCGGCAGTGAAGCCTTTTTTCACAGCCGGTTTCCTACTACACATACACAAAACGCGCTGCACTTTGTGGATGAGCCACAGTCTTCTGGGACTAAATTTCTGGGTAAATGCGCCGTGGCGAACTGAGCCGGAAGTGGGAGAGGGTACCTGTCAAAACCTCCTCCCCCCAAAAGGTGCCAAATGTGGCAATGGAGGGGGGGGGAGGAGGCAGATAAGCGGAGCTTCCCCTTTTGGGTGGAACTCCACTTTAAGTTATTATCACAATAATCCCCTAGTTTTTCTAGTCCTATTGAGTAGAAACACTAATTTAACCTCCCTAGCGGTCTGATTATGTCAGTATTTCTGTGCTCAAAGCGGTACATTTTTTTGCATGGAAATATGTCGTTTTTTTATTGTAGGCCTGTAATTTTTAGGAATAACTCACTGAAATCTGTCCGAACAAGAGTCTAGTAAACATCCCGGGTATGATAAAATTTGAAACACAAAATCATAAATTATAATTTAATAAATAATCATAAAAACAATAATATAATAATAATACATGTAATTCAATAATATAATCAAACCAAAAACACTGAAATTTGAAATATAGCGCCAAGTTCGCACATCACTGAGCAAAGTCGCAAAATCGTTTTCAGTGTCTGATGACGAATTTCCCCACGAATCATTATCACTCAATTCTGCAATTGGTTCTAATTTACTATCGCTGTTCTCTAGCTGGTCTAAAACCTTTTGACCTAAAGGGACGCTTTTTGGACGCCATGGATATTTCTCAGTTTCCAAGCAGAAAGAGCAGTAAAAATGTAGGCAGGGCACAGGACAAAGCACTCGGGACAATATGTATGTGAAATGGTTTGATACAGTAATGTTTTACTATGTGCTTTTAGTGTATTTAGTGAATGTCACATTTTTAAATTTCCCGCCAGTTCCGTCCCTGTACGTCCTGACGTCGCAGGGAACGGAATCCAGAAGACAGATGCCGGCATCAGCCGGAGGAGATTGCCGGGAAAACTGCAGGAGGGACATTGCGGGAGCGAAGAACAAGGTAAGTGAAGAAGAGATCCCGGAGCAACGCTGCATGGTATTCCCGAGTGTAGTTCAGGGTTACCGCTTGTGATACTGAAACTTTACCCCGAGCTACATTAGGGAATACCTCCAGGGAGGTTAAAGCAGAACTGTACTCACCTCGTCTCCAGCGCTGCGGCATCCCTCTGCTCCCCGTTTGACATCTGGGTTCCAATCGCTGGCTGGGTGGGGATAACGTCACTCCCGTGCATATGCAGGAGTTTAGCCAGATTCAGCATTGCCAAATTTGTACAATAAGCTGCACATGCGCTGCTCACTGAACAGGGGTGGACAGGCAGGTAAGTAACTTTAATGCAGAAGAGACAAGGCATTAAAATTCTTGCCTGTTCACTTTTTTTGTTACCTAAAGTTCCATTTAATAGTATGCTTTGCATGGAAAAGTACATCTACACTCACTGGGGAATAACTGGGGAATTCAGTTCAGGGAATATGGCTTTCAATTCCAGGTATGGCTATCTGGATTTGCTGAATGTCCCACTGGGCTAATAACTGCATCAGGTATCGGTTACTCTTCACTATGTAGATGTGGGTGAACAATAACCTTATGAATTGAATTACGGGTATGGAAAATCCTAGTCTTATGATCCACACTGCATGCTAGTTTGTTGTTTTGATAGCTGGATCCCATGGTGCAATTGACCAATGTTCTAAATTGTAAAGTTAGCAATATATTCTGCCTTTATGATATGTCCTTAGATTGTTCTGTATGGTAGGATTGGGACTGGCAAGTAGTTCTGCTATTCACCATATGCTACATGGAAGACTGCAGTGCTGGGTGTGGAATTTTCAACAAAGTTTGAGTTAAAAGAAAAAGTTATTATAACAACTATTGTAATATGTTTTGGTTATAAAAATAAAAGAATAGGGGGTTGACAGGCAGGGCAGAAAATGTCTCTCTCCTTGCAGTAATACACAATATGTTTTCCCCACTCTACTCCAAAGCATAAACTTAGCCTGATACTATTTACATTAGACTTGTAACGTAAATCTGGTTACACACCGATCAAAGGAAGGCCAGTTCAGCAGGGACTGGCTGAATTTTGATCTGTGCATAGCCCTTCCTGTTCGACAGAAGTTCCAGACCTTCTGGAAAACCTTCTTCAAGCAGCAGCTTGCTGTGGGTGGATACAAGAATCCCTCGCTTGGTTGATTGCAGGAACCTATTAGTGTGTTTTTCATTCGGCCAGCTGGCTGTACAAAAAAAAAGAGTTGTGTACCCACCTTAAGTACATCCCATCGGAGATACAACAGTTTTTGTAAATTGAGGAACCCAGATATCAGGTTTCAAGAGTGACATCTCTTATTTGCTCAGAAGGGTTAAAATACTCTTTAATTTGCTTTTATGGTGACGCTAATTTGAATTTCCAAGTTCATTTTAACAAATGAGCACACATGTCTGGACATCTGGATGGGTCACATTATTGTCAGTTGTCAGGCATGTCCTCTAAAAGTCTTACCTAGAAATGTCAGGTAAAGTCACAGACTTCCCAGCTTCAAGGGCTGCATTTAGACAGTGTGCTCCCAATGTTTCCATGGCAATGATGGGCACATCAGACCACCCAACTCTGGTAAGTCCTTCAATGATTCCAGAAAGGAGCCCTCCACCTCCTACTGAAACCACAAGAGCTCCCGGCTTCTGATTCCCCAGAGCTGCTTTCACTTCCAACACCAGACTAGAATGACCTTCCCTATAAAACGTAAAAAAGCATATGTAGCAGAATTCAGAAAGCAAAAATATAGTCAATCTACAGGAAAACAAGTTTTATTAAAACTGAAAATAAATGTAAAGCACAAAGCCATATAAAAGCTTATACTAATTACATCAGATTATCATCCATTAAATGTGAAACACTCTGCTCCTTGTAATTTTTCTACCACACTGTTTCAATCCCTTGACCTAAATCAATGGACTATTGTGAAGGTCCCTTAACTCAAATTACTGCTATCTCTAGGCAGGCTGGTTGCAAAGCCTTGCCTGTTCCAACACAATTCTAAACAACAAAAACAGGTTCTTAAACTTAAACTCCAGGGAAATATAAAAACCTTGTTGTAGGGATCCCCTCACACAGCAAGGGTAAATACTTGTTTTTTTTCCTAGGGCATCATTAAACAACAGCTTTAGTTAAGTATCCCTTGCTCTCCCAGCAACCAGTGATCTCCTCTTCGGTGCTTAGGATTGTGGGCAAGCCCTTGATGTCTTCACGTACAATGAAGGACTGCTACTTCATTCATGTGATGTAATACAGTGTGACCAACAGAGCACCAAAGACAAGTGGCTTTAACGGGACCAGTCGCACAGAGAAGATGAAGCCTATAGGAACAAGTAATAAGATAAGAAAACATGCTTTTTGATAGTACCTAAACAAAAATGAGTACTTAACTCTTTAGTGTTGGGAAAGCCCACTACAAGGATAGTTTTCATTTTTTCCTGGAGTTCAGCTTTAAATCAGTTCTTCAATACCTGTTAATACCTCCAGTTTGGTTGACAGCCAAGCCTGTTTTTTGTTGCTTGGAACTATTCTGAAGGGTTTGCTTTAATGTCCGATGAATGTAATTATGTAGAGAGCTGCTCAAGGGGAGGGTGTTTTCAACCAGCTGAAGTAGCTCAAAATTGGAGGGTCTCTTATAAGAAGCTTTATCCAGCAGAGAAGAGACCTTAACAGTCACCCTGTGATACAAATGCACAAAAAATCTGGTTGTGGTTGTGTGGACCATTTAAAAATAGTTCCCTTTATATTGTATAAAAAATAAGTGAATGCCATTAATAAAATGACTCTGAAAAATAGTATTGTGAACTTAAAGGCTCAAAGAAAAAAAACAATTGTTCTGTTTCAACATGTGTTAAGCAGTGCTTCCATCTTTGTGGGTATGTTAGATTGGTAATGTTCTCATATGTGCAGTAGAGCAAGTACATGAATACATGGATGCATTCACAAGATATAGCAAGGGATTTTGGCCTGCTATTTAAATCCATCTGCCCTGCTTACTTTGTCCGTCATGCTAAAGCCTTTGTGGAAGAAACAATTTACTATTTAACTGTCAAGATACACCTAGAGCATAATCTAAAGCAACCCTTTTCAACCTTTTTTTTTTTTTACCTCGTCGGAACCCTTGAAATATTTTTCACATTTTGAGGAACCCTTACTAAAAATAATGATACTTGTATTTCTCAGTATCTCAGTTGAAGTAGAATGTTTTAAATAAAATAATAAATGGGGATACTAGCATATTTGACACCCTGGGTGGATATTTTTTTTATCTCTGTACAGAAGAATCTTAGTAATAATCTTGAAATTAAATAATTCACACAGAAAGTACAAATTGCTGTATTCCCTAATATTAGTGGTCAATGTAGAAGTGCCACAATGTCTTGGTGGCCAGTGTAGGTAAGAAAAGGGTTCCATAAAGCCCTGGTTGAGAAAGGCTGATCAAACCTGTGAGTGAGACTTCTAAGAAGATATAAACTACGTTCCTAGAGGTATGTTTAAAGAATTCCATTATAGTAATTAACATATTGCCTTAACTTACTCCAATTTTGGAACAATGGCTACATTTTCAGAAACATACTGACAGGGCTCTTTTTCAGCTGGAACTTGGTGGAACATAGTTCCACCACCTCTGGCTCAGACCCTTTGCTCCCTGCTCACTACTATCAATTGTAAACACAGAATTTTGGCTTCTGTGTCTACAAGTGACAGCATGTCTCTCCATGGCTCCCACAGATTTGATCTCCTGAGTAGCTCCCACTGAGCATAGTATGGAGACAAGGGAGATGCAGGTGCCTGGGGTCCAGTGCAGATGAACACCCCACTGGATGAGCTCTCTGCAAGTTAGAGAGGCCAAGCCACTTACAGTGTGTGGGGAGAGTACTAGAGCCAGCTGGTTGAGTCAGCTCAATACAGCAACAAAAAGTAAGACATGTGGAAGATGGTGTAGCTTTTAAGAAGGGGGAGAATATGGGGGCAGTTGAGGGAGGGTTTCATGCAGAGGTCAGAGATGAAGAGGGATGAAAGTGAGATGGGGAAAAGGTAAGAAGCTGTGGAAGAAGACTGAACTCTGCAGTCTGTATGCAGTGCACCTCTGAACTCTGTACTATGTATGTAGCACACCCCTGAACTCTGCACCTAATGCACACCTAAACTCTGCACTTTGTATGTAACCCTCCCAAACTCTGCACTCTGTACATGATGCATTCCTGGTATTTAACACCTTCCCGCCTGGCCTATAGCAGATTGATGGCCGGATGGGATGCTCTTCCTTCTGAGTGGACATCATATGATGTCCTATCAGAAGGTGCTGCTCGTGGGGCCATGTAGCAGCGAGCTCTGTCACCCGTTGTGTCCACGGAACACAGCCATTGACAGATCACTACACCGGCCTGCTGCCAGTGTCATGTGACTGTTGTGACCAATCATAGCAGATCACATGATAGTTGTATACAATGGATGGCTTCCTTTCATTTGATTGGTCACAGCGGCACATGGTACAGACCAGGGCCAATCGCAGCCCATCACAGCTAATCACAACAAAAGACTGAATGGGGTTTATTTACTAAAGCTGGAGAGTCCAAAATCAGACTCCCTTCTGCAAAGAAACCAATCAGCTTCCAGGTTTCATTGCCAAAGCTTCATTGAACAAGCTGAGGTTAGAAGCTGATTGGTTTCTATGCAGAAGGGAGTCTGATTTTGGACTCTCCAGCTTTAGTAAATAAACCCCAATGAGTCAGTTTAATTCAGTAAAAATGGTTGCTAATATCAATTAAATACATTGGTATTAGCGATCATAATGTGTACACACAAAAAAAAAAATCCTGATCACTTGCCCAGAGTAGTACACTATTACTATGGTAACATTATATTGCTCTGATCACAGTGTGTTGAAAAAAATAGTAAAAAGAAGAGAAAAAAATGAAAAAAGAAAAAAAATCATTAAAAATTTTGTTTTATTTATTTATTTTACACACTGTCACCAGTCAGTGTCCCTGATTACTGCCACACCAGTTATATGATAACGCTGTACTGGACTGGTAACAATATGTAAAAAAAAAATTGTGAATTTTTTTTATTAATTTCTTAATTTTACAAAAAATTGTGACAAAAAAATTACAAGTCATTTGGGGGGTATTTATACTCTCCTGGCATTTTTGGGCCTCAAGAAATGAGATTGGTTGTCAGTACATCAGGACTGATCAATTGTCATATATATATATATATATATATATATATATATATATATATATATATATATATAATGGTTTGTAACTTTCCTACAAACTAAATAATATACACTAATTTGGGGTATTTTCACCAAAGAAATGTAGCAGAATACATTTTGACCTAAATTTATGAAGAAAGGTTATTTATTTGCAAAATTGTATTACAGAAACGAAAGCGGTCCGCAATGTGCAATGTGCAGAATCATATCGCATAGATGTGAATACCCATGCGATCTGATTCTAGTATGGACTAAAAAAAGGGTCCTGCACATTTTTGGTGCGGGTGTGATGCGATTAGAACCATACAAAATGTATGTTTGAAAGAAAATATGTTTTTTTGTGAGTGGCATTTCTATTGTTTGACCCCCATATTAATGTTTTATACAGTTTTACATTATGGGATGTCTGGTTTTGTTTTGATTTGCTGAAAATATGAGATACTGCCCGTGGAGGAGAGGAGTTGCCTAACATTGATGCAGATCTAGTGGAAAGTTATTGGTTACTACAAGAAACCACGGTTATAAGGACGAAGGAATATCGGCCATCAGGACTGGATTGCAAACTGCGATAGTCCCAAAAAGTGAGTGTGACTTACCTAGAGATAGGTGGTCATGAAATGACGGTGAGTTTACATCTATGTGGGGCACCAGTGTGAACACAGTGAAGCACTTGTCATTTCAGTATGGAGTATCACCGTTAAAGATACAGCACTGTTGCACCAATTATTCAGATGTTGGGACTGAATATTAATATTTTATCTGCATTTTGCTCGTTGTTATCACTTTAAAGATTGCAACGTTTATTTTGTCAATTTGTGACCTTAGTGCGGTCCATTTTTTAAATATATACAAAATCTATGGCTCCAATCGCACCACACACAAATCGCATGTGATTTGCACAGGAATGCGGTGCGGTTCCTGTGCGAATCACATCCAATATACCGCACCGCATATATGTGAACCCAGGCTGAAAGCTGAAAATTGGCCTGGCTGGAAGGGGGTGAAAGTGCCAGTATTGAAGTGGTTAATGCCCCTTTAGGACCCTCCCACTGTTAGTGACATTTTACTACGCCCACTGTTTGATATAGTTTGGCGTGGGAGGGGGTTTGGAGAATGTGTTTGAGTTCCTGCGCCTATTTTCTGAGTAAAAAAGACCTGCATACCAATATGTTTTTGCCAGTGATTATGGGGGACATTTATCAAAATGGAAGCAGGCAGAATCTAAAGCAGATGTGCATTGCAAGTAAATGGCATCTATCTTCAGCTTGTCCGAAAAATCTTTGAACATGAAAATAGAAGCTAAATGGTTGCCATGCGTCAGATTCTGATTGCCCAATTTTTGTATACTCCCCCATATGCGTCTTGAAAATATGTCGGTTTTTCTAAACTTGATACCGCAATCATTGCAGACACACAACTTCCACTTGGCTATTTGACAGTTGTGAATTTAGCACAAACACATGCTGTGCTGCATCAATGCACAGGAATCTAAATGAACACAACAGTGTAACATGTGCACGTGTATCATTTCATACAACAGCTGATACAGCGACTCTGACAGCAATCATCTATGTGATTAATGCCTAATGGTGTGTGTCATTAACAAGCTACAGTCACTGCAGGCCTCTGAGGCAGCTGGTAAGTGGTGTCCCATCCCCAGATACTCACCAAAGCAGAGGATGGTTAAATGGTGAGATGTACACAGATCCTGGAGCTTCAGCCAAGCGGTGAGCATGGGCATCTGCATCATCCCAAACCTATGGCAAATGTTTATTAGCTATAACACAACATCAATACCTAGCAATATCAACCAAACCTGCCAATTTCTACTATGCGCATTAGACAGCAGTATAAATTGCCACCTGCCAACAAAATTTTGATGTCAAAGAAAAGGGTTCATATTTTAGCGTGTGCATTGTGAAAAAGGACTTTCTACACTAGTCATTTTTGTCGTGTTGAGATGATCATCACCTTATAACAATGCATCACCTTAACCGTTCTTGTGGTCTATGTGGTACTAAATGTTTGGTATAGTAATATACAGTTGTGTTCAAAATAATAGCAGTCAGACATCACTAACCGAGCAATCACTGTTTTTGGTAGAAATGATATTTCTACATGGCAAATAATTTACTAGCAGGTGTAGTAGAGTAATAGAAATCCAACAGACCCAACAGTCATGACATGCATGCTGCCGATTCTGTGTAATTGAATCACTAATTGAAAGGGGCATGTTCAAAATAATAGCAGTGTGGAGTTCTATTAGTGAGGTCATTCATTCTTTGAAAAACAGGTGGCAATTATTGCCCTTATTTAAGGAAGGAAGGCAGCAAATGTTGTACATGCTGGTTACAGTGCATTTATCTCTGAAATTCTGAGGAAAATGGGTCGTTCCAGACATTGTTCAGAAGAACAGCGTACCTTGATTAAAAAGTTGATTGGAGAGGGGAAAACATATAAAGAAGTGCATAAAGTGATAGGCTGCTCACCTAAAATGATCGCAAATGCTTTAAAATGGCAACCAAAACCTGAAAGACGTGGAAGAAAGCGAAAAACTACCATTCCAATGGATAGAAGAATAGCCAAAATGGCAAGGACTCAGCCAACAATCAGCTCCAGGAAGATCAAAGAAGGTGTAAAGTTACCTGTGAGTACTGTTACAATTAGAAGACGCCTATGTGAAGCCAAGCTATCTGCAAGAAGCCCCGCAAAGTCCCACTGTTGAAAAAAAGACGTGCTGAAGAGGTTACAATTTGCCAAAGAGCACATTGACTGGCCTAAAGAGAAATGGCGCAACATTTTGTGGACTGATGAAAGTAAGATTGTTCTTTTTGGGTCTAGTGGCGGAGACAGTTTATCAGACGACCCCCAAACACTGAATTCAAGCCACAGTACACTGTGAAGACAGTGAAGCATGGTTGCGCAAGCATCATGTTATGGGAATGTTTCTCATACTATGGTGTTGGGCCTATTCATCGCATACCAGGGGTCATGGATCAGTTTGAATACATCAGAATACTTGAAGAGGTCATGCTGCCTTATGCTGAAGAGGAAATGCCCTTGAAATGGGTGTTCCAACAAGACAACGACCCCAAACACACCAGTAAACGTGCAACATCTTGGTTCCAGACCAACAAGATTGACGTTATGGAGTGGCCAGCCCAATCCCCGGATCTTAATCCAATAGAAAACTTGTGGGGTGACATCAAAAATGCAGTTTCTGAGGAAAAACCAAGAAATAGAGAAGAACTGTGGAATGTAGTCCAATCATCCTGGGCTGGAATACCTGTTCACAGGTGCCAGAAGTTGGTTGACTCCATGCAACATAGATGTACAGCAGTTCTCAGAAACAGTGCTTATACAACTAAATATTAATTAAGTGATTCAAAGGAAAGCAAAATCTTCAAACATTTTTCAGTTAATATAGTGAATGTTTGAGTTTGTAAAGAAGAATACAAACACTGCTATTTTTTTGAACAGTCTAATATTCACTTTTCTTCAATTTTTTTAGAGGAACAACACAAATTTGATATATTTTTCTTCATGTTTTGATTTGGAATAGAATGTGTAGTGTTCCCAATGCATTTGTGTGTATGGAAATAAAAGCTATTAGAAGGATTTTGAGCTTTATTCACTTTTTTCAACACACTGCTATTATTTTGAACACAACTGTATGTATTGTTATCAATTCATTTATTTAATTCAAATTTTTAATAACATCTTTTGAAAAAATGTTAGCCCCTTAATGAGAGGTAACTCTATAGCAGGGGTCTGTAGACTAGAGCCCTCTGGACACATCTGGCCTGATACAAGATTTTATTCGGCCTGCAGCTAGGGTTCAAGGGGTATCTTCAATGTAGCTCGAAGGATTAAAGTAAACAGAGATTACCTATGGTCTCCGCTTCTAATGTATGGGAGATCCTGATGTAAAGGGGGACTCTGATGGAGACCCTATTGTAAGGGTGGACTCTGATGGAGACCCTAATGTAAGGAGGGTTACAGATGTGGACCCGGATGTAAGGGAGTGTTCTGATAGGATTCCTAATGTAAGACGGGATTCTGATGTAGACCCTGATGTAACAGAGGACCTTGATGTAAGAGGGGTCTTTGATGTAAGGGGGGACTTTAATGGGGGCTTTGATGCAAGGAAGGATTCTGGTGGAGTCTCTGATGTACAGGGAACTCTGAAAGAAACCCAGATGTAAGAGGTCCCTGATGAGTATTTTTTCAGCCCACAAATATTTCTAACTATAGAGCGTGGCCCTCATACTGAAACATTTGGAGACCTCTGCACTATAACATACACTTGATGTAATGTCACTACCATCAAAGTGATCGTTTCTTTATTAATAGGGACAGACATAATTTGTAGAATGCACATTCTGTCACTCTGTCAGTTTATTACCTTGCCTGTGACCACCACTTCAGCTCCCAGATCCTCAAGTCTTTGGATGACATGCTTCAGGGTCTGTTCAGGCACAACAATTGTGGCAGGCAGCCCCAGTTTATTACAGGCATATGCAGCTGCCAGTCCAGCATTCCCACCTGCGTAAGAAGAAGATGGCAGCATTTAGGCAGAAACTATTGAGGGAAATTGGAGTGCTGAAAAAAGGCCAGATAAGAGAAATGAAAGGCTCATACTATAAGACAGAAGTTGAGAATGAGCAATGTGACCTTGAAAATCTAGAAAGTGTTGCAGGGAAGATATAGAGGATTAAATATTTGCCGTAAAGACAGGATTTAGGTACCTGAGGAGCAGACAAATTTCTTATATCCCTTCTTGGCTAGCTGCAAAAAAAGGAAAGCAAGATTTTTAAATGACACTTTATAGTCTTTGCCCAGTATAAGGATAGAACATATTCTGTTTGTACCCAGCTGAATAAAATACTGCAAAGCACAAACAACTGGTAAGGCTTTATAATTTCTGGCACACAATGCATTTCATCCAATATTAGGCAAGAAAAAAAAAACATTACATTTTTATTGCCAGCAAAAAAAAATAGCTCACAGCAGATGTACTACAGAAAACGGAAAATTGAAGTCAAATACTTACCGTAATTTTCCTTTCCTGACGAGCTCCATGGCAGTACAGCTGGGTGAGGCCCTGCCCACCCCCTGCCTGGTCAGGACGTAACTTAATACATTTTTGACCCACCTCAGCCTAGGCGTTCCGTAACTCGTACTACTAAACTGGGTGGGATTTGTGCTACCATGGAGCTCGTCACGAAAGGAAAATTATGGTGAGTATTTGAATTAAATTTTCCGTTTTCTTGACGGCTCCATGTCAGCACAGCTGGGATTTAACTAGCCACACATGGGAGGGTAATGCAAAAACAATTTAATTTCACCTGGAAGCAGAGCCCAAGACACCCCTGCCAAAATCAGCAGTAGTCAAAGCCACAGGTTCTCTACAATAATGTCATGAAGGTATGAACAGAAGACCATGTAGCAGTTTTGAAGATTGTTTTCAGGGAAACTTGGCCCACTGCTGCCCATGAGGTTGAAACCCCTCTAATGGAATGCACTGTGACCCCTTCAGGCTCAGGCAACCCTCTCATTCTGTAACCTAAAGACCTGGTCTTGAACAGCCAAGTAGCGATTACTTTACTAGAAGCTCTCCAGCCTTTCCGTGCACTGTTAGGGATGGTGAAAAGATGCTCTGATTTCCTGAGCTCGGAAGTAGCATTCACATAATCTCTCAATGAGTGCCCAATATCCAATGAACTTGGGTCCTGGGAATTTCCCAAAAGGAGCATCGGGAGTGTAATGTCTTGCGTTATGTGAAACCTGGAGGCAACTTTGGGTACGAATCCTAGCATCGGTCTAAACACGACCCTATCCGGAAAGAATGAAAGAAAGGGTTCTTTAAACCCTAAGGCTGCTAGTTCCCAAGACTCTTCTGGCTGATGTTATGGCCATGAAAAATGCTGTTTTAAGAGTAAGATGCCATAGTGAAACAGGATGACTGAAGGTGTCTGATGAGAGGAAGTCCAACACCAGAAATGGTCCAACACCAAAATGGGACTTGCCAAGATTGATCAGCCTTTGCCTTTCAAGACCCAGGCCGCCAGCTTGAGTTTCTCCAGAACGGGGTGCCGAATGGGTCCCTGCATGAGCAGATCCAGTGTCAATGGCAGAGGGTATGGTTCTCTGATATTCAATGAACGGAGTAGCGGGTACCAGGGTCTCTTCGGCCAATCTGGTATTACCGATAGAACCGTCACCCTCTTCTGGTGTATTCTGCGTAACAAGCTGAGAATCACTGGAACTTGAGGGAAGGCGTATGCAGTCTTTAAATTCCATGCCATTGTCAACACATCCACCCCCATAGCTTGTGGGTGGTTGATCCTGGAGAAAAAATGAGGTAGTTTGGTATTCTCCAGGAGGCAAGCAGGGCTATCTCCGACAGAAAGGCCCATGCCACTAGACTCCGAAAAACTTGAGGTGAAAGGACCCACTCGTTGTTGTCCAAACTCGTTCTGGATAGATAATCCACCTGGGTATACAAGCGACCGGGCACATACATTGCTGTTGGCAGTTGTAAGTTGGCCTGGGCCCATTACATAACTGGAGTAACCTCCCTAAGGAGGGATGCCCCCCTGTCTGCGTATGTAGGCTACTGCCATTGTGTTGTCCAACTTCATCAGAACGGGTGCACCCTGAATGAGTTTCTTTTCTTGAAAGCCAGGAGTGCTTGGAATGCTGTTTGATAGTAAGTCATGTCCCTTCTGCTTATTTATTTATTTTACTAAACTTTGGCTTGAAAGTTGACTTTTGGCTTAAAGAGAGTTTCGTGGACACTGCTGTATGAGCATTGTGATGCATGCCTTTGCCCAAGGGACACGTCTTTAGAAAGATGTCTCCCTTGGGCCGCTGGCTTCTACTTTAGTAGAAGACTTCCATGCTGCCATTGTGTTCTCCAACTTCATCAGAACGGGTGCACCCTGAATGAGTTTCTTTTCTTGAAAGCCAGGAGTGCTTGGAATGGTGTTTGATAGAAAGTCATGTCCCTTCTGCTTATTTATTTATTTTACTAAACTTTGGCTTGAAAGTTGACTTTTGGCTTAATGAGAGTTTCGTGGACACTGCTGATGAGCATTGTGATACATGCCTTTGCCCAAGGGACACGTCTTTAGAAAGATGTCTCCCTTGGGCCGCTGGCTTCTACTTTAGTAGAAGACTTCCTCCTCAGATCTACCCCACCACCACCCCACCGCCATATTATTTTGGTGCAGCAGGGGTTAATAGAGCTGAGGGACCTGTCATATGTGTAGAGCCTAGCCCTGAACTCTTGATGTGTTATTTCCCCCTGTTCCTGTGCCCACAACTCTGTGAACAACTCCACACACTCTGACACAGCTAGCTCCATGGGAAATATTTTACTACAGGTACCTGTATATACTACAAGTACCTATATATACTGTATACCCCAAAGGCAGTGCCGGGACAAGATCATCTAGAACCTAGGGCAAACATATCGAATTGTGCCCCCCCTTTCCCCCCAAGAAGTATGACCATTATGTATCAGCAAAAACTCCCCCTCCCCGCAAAAAAATTGAGAACTAATCTGCATGCTTACCCCTTAAGCATAAATTCCCCCAATCATCCCTTCTAGCACAAATCCCCCTCCCCCCCACCAAATAAATTGCCCCACTTGCACAAATCCCAACCTCACATGATACCACAGTGCCCAGGGCAGCCACCCCTCCTGCACACCCCTTGTCGTGGCCCTGCCCAAAGGCTCAAAGCTGTATAGAAACCAGGAATTAAACAGCAACTGGTTAAGTAACATTAAGAGTAATTTGCAATAGGGTCAACAAAGAAGAAATATACTGTATTGATTAAACAGCAAAATAATGATACTGCAATGGTTAAAGTGGTTCTAAAGGTAATACATTTTTTACTTTAATGCATTCCCTGCATTAAGGTAAAAAATGTTTAAGTAGCTGGATCGCCCCCCACCTCTCTATATATTTTCCTGAGTCCTATATCGATCTGGCGCTGTGCCCATCTGCAGCAACACTGCCTCTCCTCACCAGACACAGAAGCAGCAGTAGGAGCCATTGGTTGTTGCTGCTGTCAATCAAATCCTGTGAGTAGGAAGCGGGGCACAGGGCTGAGCAGTGCTGTGTGTGTGTCTATGGATGCACATAGCAGGACTTGGGAGCACATCCACACATATGCCCCCATAGCACACAATGGGGGCACACACACAGAAGAGTAAAATCTATTGGAACCAATTGCCTTCAGAAGTCACCTAACTAGTAAATAGAGTCCACCTGTGTGTAATGTAATCTCAGTATAAATACAGCTGTTCTGTGAAGATTTGTTAGAAAACAGTGAACAAACCACATCATGAAGGCCAAGGAACACACCAGACAGGTCAGGGATAAAGTTGGTTCCAGTAGATTTTAGTTAGGGGTATCAGAGTAAAGGGGGCTAAATAAATATGCATGCCATCTTTGTCATATATTTATTTGTAAAAAATGTTGAAAACCATCTATCATTTTCCTTCCACTTCACAATTATATGCCACTTTGTGTTGGTCTATCACAAAAAAAAACAAATAAAATAAATTTACGTTTTTGGTTGTAACATGATAAAATGGAAAATTTCAAAGGGTATAAATACTTTTACAAGGCGCTGTACATCATCACTAACTCACCACCAAGACTCTTTTGGAGGAAGTTCCACATGCAATGCTGGTAAGTGCGCTGGGAAATCCTTTGTTTGTGATGTGCACCTTGCTGTTAAAGCTGGTTATAGGTGGGGACGGTTGCCATTTTTTCCCCCATACACAATGCGCCTGTGATATCCTGCTCCTGCCTACTCCCTATTCATCAAATCCGCCAGTTAATCAATTGGTGAATATGCTGATGAAATTTAGTTGCATTCACATACCCACCATCTACCTCAGGAGTGCTGAACAGAACAGCACTGTATTTGCCACTTGTTTCTGGCATTACACACTCGGGTGAAGCTGGAAATACCAGCTAATCCAGTAATCAAGCAATGTTGAATATAAAGTTTAATCTGCTTATATTTGCCTTCTCTAGTTCCTGCCCTTCCCTTCATGAATATGCTAGCGAGATTACTTATTTTAGACTAAGCAATGTCATTACTGGGTCTCTGTGCTTCTCTATGCAAAGCAAGCAAACAGTGTGAACCCCTATGTAACTGCTACAGTGATGGTCACCTTCCACAACGTTCCCTAAGAGTATAAGACATGCATAATTACATATGTCCAAGCTGGACATACACTATATTGCCAAAAGTATTGAGATGCCTGCCTTTATGCACACATGAACTTTAATGGCATCCCAGTCTTAGACCATAGAGTTCAATATTGAGTTGGCCCACCCTTTACAGCTATAACAGCTTCAACTCTTCTGGGAAGGCTGTCCACATAACTCTTCTGGAAGGCTATGCTTCCACGTTTAGGTTTAGGAGTGTGTCTATGGGAATGTTTGACCATTCTTCCAGAAGCGCATTTGTGAGGTCAGGCACTGATGTTGGACGAGAAGGCTTGGTTCCCATTCTCCACTCTAATTCATCCCAAAGGTGTTCCTTATGGGGTTGAGGTCAAGGACTCTGTGCAGGCCAGTCAAGTTCCTCCACCCCAAACTCACTCAGCCATGTCTTTATGGACCTTGCTTTGTGCACTGGTGCGCAGTCATGTTGGAACAGGAAGAGGCCATCCCCAAACTGTTCCCACAAAGTTGGGAGCCTGAAATTGTCCAAAATCTCTTGGTATGCTGACGCCTTAAGAGTTCCCTTCACTGGAACTA